GAGAGGGATTTAAACATGTACAAATTCAAAAAGTATTTGTACTTTGTAGTACAATATTTGGCTTTACCTGATACAAAGCTAGCTTACCAGTCATAGCTTCTCAATTCCTGCTGCATAGTTTGTCATCTGTTTTTTCTTAATTACTTTAACTTATTGTATTTGTTTGTGTTGATTACGTCACAGCTCTTTAATTTAAGTTGGTAGCTTTTAATACTTCTGATTGGACTTCCATAATATAACATAGTGAGTGTGTGTGTGTGTGTGTGTGTGTGTGTGTGTGTGTGTGTGTGTGTGTGTGTGTGTGTGTGTGTGTGTGTGTGTGTGTGTGTGTAGATGCTGATGCAGCTGAAGAACCTTGCCTTGGAGGCAGAGACAGAGCTGGAGCGGCAGGATGATGTTCTGAACGACCTGACCAGCTCCACTGACCGAGCCACCATGAACGTAGAGAAGCACACCTGCCGCATGAGAAAACTGCTGTAGCTGTGACAGCGTCCCCATGCCCCCCTTTAGGGATGCACAGCAAGCTTCCTAATCGTCTTCATGAGGTTGGTAGAAAGTTGGACCAGCAGAATACAGCAGTTGGGACATGCATACTCAAGACACTTGACAACAATTTTTGTTGCATATTATTACATAATCACACAGATTCAAGCGTATAGAGTTTACGGAAAGTACAGGAACTTGACGCTAAACACATTTACCAAAATCCCTGATATTTGCCTTTTAGGTTATGAGTTTTTTGTTTGGTTTCTTTTTTTAAATTTTAAATAATTCAACACAGCTTACTAAGCATTTCATTTGTCATTACTTTGTGGAGTTGCCATTTGTAAAACAATTGCCTAAAGTAAAAGCGGCACCCAGTTGCCCATCCAGCACTATGTTGGGTCGATGCTGATGATTTGGCTCTGCCTATTTAACCTATTGGCTTTGGAACCTGAGTTGTATATTGGTAAATAGCTTGCATCTAATGCCTTCGGAAAGCGAAATATAACAAGCCTTATTTTTTATCTTTGAAGAAACACATTTGTTTTATTTCAGTTGGGCGGACATATTCCCCACTAAATAAGGTGTAAGCAATAGAATGACGGTTAAAGCTTTCCTGTTGCATCACATTAATATCCTTGATGATGGAGTGCCAGTCTTTCTTTTTATAACCTTTGCTTTCACATTATTGTCCTGCTGTATCTGTGTCACTTGTCCTCTCCAGACATTGTCTCTGTGCTGCTTTATGTTGCATGTGTTAATATTGCTGCGTATTATTGCATCGAGAGAAAGGGTCCCAACCTTTCTAAGATATAGCCGAAGACTGTAAGCGTGCAACTTGTTCTGGGAATCTTGAAACCAGAACCGAAAACACTTCCATGATTTGTTTTTAAATAATGTAAACTAAATACTCCATATTTAACTCACAATCTACTGTATATCTTGTGAACAATTGACAATTTAATTCTGTATAATCTGTAAATGACAGATGCATGTATTGTGATTTTATTGTGTTCTATTATTACTGTCAACTTGTAATTAGCTGAGAGTTATACTTTAAATTATTTTTAAAATAATAATTTCGGAGCTGTAAATACGCTTCTTTTGCTGATGATACTAAACTTATCCTGACATTGGATAGAAATAAACGATCAGCTATAAATACAAAGGGAAAAGGTACACCTGCATCTGTTTAAAGCAAACACATGGAATAAATGAAGCAACACTTGCATTTTAGATATTGGAATCATTTAATTATTTAATTCTACTGAAAAGTATCACAATTGTTGGCCTGTCATAGCATGATCTGAAATAAAAGTAAGTCTCCAACTATCAAAAGTAAAACTGTTTTTTTTTGTTTATTTTGATACATTTAACAATGCATTAAACTTTGTTTAGTTAGAAGAGTTGCTCAACTGCTCTTTGATATAATTATTAAACGTTAAGAGTGAACGGTACAGGGTAAAAAACACAATTGGTTTTCCGCCAATAAAACCCTATGAACTTTCCATAATTATGAACAAAATCAAACAATTCATTACATTCTTTGTTCGACAAGAATATAATTTCAAATGATGCTGTGTAACCCACACTTTAATAACTGCTGCCAGCTGTGTTGGAAAGAATATGTTCATCAACCATACAATCATAATCACTGTAAACTGTTCATTCAAAGTATTCACACCCCTTCCATGTTTAACATTTTCCAATGTTGCAGCCTTAAGTTGAAATGCACTGCAGTTAATCATTTATTGCTAGTGTTATTTAAAAAAACGAAATAACCAAAACATGACATTCTCCTTGACACAAGTATTGAGACCCTATGCTATGTCACTTGAAATATGGCTCAGGTACCTTATAATTATCCTGATCATCTCTGAGATGTCTCCAAACCTCGATTAGCTTCACCTGTGGTAAACTCAAGGGATTGGACATGATTTGTAAAGGCTGTGTTGGTCTCCCATCTGACAATGCTTATCAGACCAAACATCAAGCCATGAGCTTAGACCGGATTGTATTTATGTCAAGAACGTTTTAAAAACATTTCTGCTTTATTCAAGGTTCCAAAGAGCAAAGTGGCCTCGGAAATAATTACATGTAAAAACTTTGAAACAATCCGAACTCAAACTATTTTAACATTAAAAATGTGAACTCCAAATGTTTATGTAAGTTGTATCCCCTTTTAAACCAGTTTGAGTGTCATGGAAATATATTTCAAAGTAAGTTTGGAATAACAATTGAGTGAATTCAACAGAACACTCGAGCATGGCACAAAATGACTATTAAAGCCAGAAAATGGGCATCATTTAACAGCATACTGTTTGTATTGGATGGAGATTTGGGTTCAGTTTTTTTTGGTACAACAAACATAATTGAAATAAACCTCTTGAATGCAATCCATAATAAAAAGTCAACAGGCAACCTCCCTCAAAGTTGGCTACCATGTGACAAATTGCAACAGAGAGTATCAAAACACTCGCAAAACTAGAAGCGGATGTTAATTAGTGTTTCAGCCACTGTGCATGCTGTTGTGTGGAAGTGGCTAACTTTTTACTACTATTATAACATCCTGTTGGCACCAAGACTGTTGGCATCAGACGGTCACCCCTGTTGGACTGCCTTTAACAAGGGGGGAATATATTTATGTCAACAGTGGACCAGATTTGTTTTGGATAGTGGCTGAGCTCTCAATTATGAATCAAGAAGACGCCTTACACAAAGCAGTTTGAAAGAAGACCGACAGCCTCACTCAACAGTCTGGTCCCAGTTAGCATGAACTTATCACTTCTATTAAACACAGCCCACCATGAAAGATGTGAGCCTGAAAGCACAACACATGAAAACAATAAAGGGATGCCTAGTTATGACATTATGAAAATCTCTTCCAGCACGGTTGAAAATGTTTTCAGCGTGGATTGTTTATTTTTGTCTTTTTGAGTGATAAACAGTGAGATTCTGGAAGTCCCAAACTCCAAAAGCACACCACATGGTTATGTGAATTCCAACACTTTAAAAAAGGTTAGGGAAATAGAGCACACACTGGCGTGGTTTTGAAGCAGCCTTGCAATACGAGGAAGTGGTGGCGGTCTTGTCTGACCACAGATACATGAGATCCGGCTTTGCCTTCCTAACGGATGGTATGGAGACACAAGGGATTTTGCTGGCCTTGACTTCCAAGTCTGTTTACTCGATAGTTCTGTGGCGAGCGTTCTCATTCAACGAGCAAGTCTCTATCGATGGCCAATCAATCAACTCTCTTCTGGGAAAAAGCAGCCCGAGTTAGTTGGCTTCGAGGGCACATGTGGGTTACACTGAGCTCCAAAATATGGAGACATGTGATTGCAATACAAATGGGCTGAATCGTCATCCAAATAGGTATATTTTTCAATGTCTCGTCGTGACATATTTATAAAATTGAAGCACGTTACACTTAAAAGTTGTTCAAACTAAATAAATGATTTAAAGTTTTATGCTTTCATTAAGATGTGTAATTAGCAATGCATCATATTCACAATGAATTACATGTACATGTTTATGAGTAATCGTTGATGTTGAGCAGACCTAGAATATATTAACCAAATATTAGAGGGATTTCACTTCTAGTGTTCTATTTGACTATGTCTCAGTCTAATGGCCTGATTCTTGACTCACGTCCTGGCCGGCCTTCCACGACTGCAGGTGTTGCTAGGTTTCCTTTTGCTGAGGGAGTTTCTGGTTTCAGGAAATAAGGCCTGTTGGTTAATGTTAAAACTGGGAAAAAAACTTGCTGGAAGTAACGTGCTTGACTCCAACCAGGGGATGAATATGTAGTTTGCAACACAAATGTGATATGAAACTCAACAAAAACATAATCTTCTTATCTATGTTTATCAGCGTGCTACCATTTTCTCTTCTGTTTAAAAGACACGGACATCAGCCTGTGGATCAACATGGGAACTTTTTTTTGTGAATATACATTCCTTGCACATACATTATTTGGATTCTGAACTTTCTTTGGTTTAGACAAACCATAAATGTGCTCCGTATGGCAGTTCATATGGTACTTTCCCAGATGCTGAGCTGCATGATGATATCATGTGCTCTTGCACTTATTGTTATGTTTTCCTTGGTCTTTGAAGCGCACTTTGGTTTTCTGGCCTTTGTTTCACAATTTGTTCTCATTTATTTGCGACAGATTTTAACAGCTAGTCAGCCAAACCAAACTTGACTGCAGTTTGTACAGTAGTATCGGTCTCAAATCAACTTCAGGTGATTTCCCACGTTACAACGAACCTTACTGAAGTGCTTGGCTTTTCATCAAACAAACCCACTGTATTTGTGTTAAGTGTTATTTCTTTAGGTCAGGTGAGAAAGTGTGAATAGCAGTTCCACAGAAAAACAAATGTTACCATTACCAAAACACAGGATAAACTTGTTAAACTTGCCATGAGGGGATGAAATATATTTAATAAAAAATAATATTTAGAAAATTGTTGTTATTGTGAGCTTGTAGATTCAGTAGAGGGCAGCAGTGAGTTGTTGCTGGTGATTTTAAGCGCATTACAATAATTCAGTGCATTATGACCTGAGCACGTTGGACAGTATCATGGTTTGGGGTCTGATTTGGTAATGTGGCGTCTATTGGGTATGAAGTACAAAATAAATGTCTCTATGTATATGTACACATGAACACAAAAGATCCCCATTTGTTCCTTTATTTCTAACTTTCCATAGGATTGAGGAGTAATAAGAGTTAATAAGAAAACACAAAGGTCCAGAGTTGCAAGATCTGCAAGTGCGAAGACTCTTTTTTGTAATGACTGGATTATGTATTCATTAAAACCCCATCCATACAGCTCCCCAAACAGGTTGTCAGGCTACGAGCCAGCTCACACTGCATCAGTACTTTTACAAGCAGGCCCCCCAGAAACCTTCAGCAAGTCTGTTTTCAGTGGCTCTTACTGCAAATGGAAACACTTAGCTCCTACAATAAATTACACACCCCATGCCACACTGCACAGACCCCCAGCTAGTTGCAGACAGACAGATATTTTAACATTAAATCTTCTTGGAATCTCCTTTTTTATAGTGACTTTGGGTCACATGAGCTAACAAAAGAACAATAATTGTTTTAAAGAGTATTACGCAAAGGTTGTTGCACCAGCGTTCAGCCTGCAGGGCCGGCGGCTTGATTAAAGTTAAGGATGTGTCCCCCCTTCACAGCAGGGTTGACTTTAGGGTCATTTCAGGATAAAAATAGACTTTCTTGGTTACTTATTGTCCCTTGAAAGTAAATAGCCATTAGTGCAGCAGGCCAGTGATCTCAAGGGCAGCGCTAGTGTTCAGCCTAAACTATTGTTTATACTGAAGCTGGATGATTAAAAGAGGAGACGGTGTATAGCAGGCCTGCTGTTAAATAGAGCATCCCCAGCAAAAACAGTAATGATGGTGCTCCTATGAACACAGACCAGTGGGGTCAAGTTCAGACTCTGTGAAAACATACTTTAAAGCACTTGACTTCAACTTCTGTATTACATTTCAAGGTGTGTTAGGAAGCGAGAGCAGCGTCTAGGACCCTTGCTAAGAGTGCCCGTGAAATAATCCTAATTATCATTCCAGCAAATGAATGAGTTTGACCACCTAGTGATGTAATCGCAGCTGACCAAATAGATTGTTGTTGAAATATTGCCCCGCTGTTATAGCTACGTTGTGACAGCGTTGTGTGTTCGCTGAGGGCCGGCGCAACCATAACAAACACAGCTGAATCTGGGGTTTACATTTCAGCAGGATGACGGCGCACGCAGCGTCTGGGTGGAACTTGGGAAAAATAACCTGGCCCAGCAGCCCCGTCTGGCTCCATGCCAGCATGGTAAGAACAACCTTGACAGTAGGACCTGTGAAATAATTGTCCATATGCACCAGTTGAGCAATGCAAATGAATGAATAGACACATTGGTTTTATCTTTGCATCCACACAGGGCAAAGAGCATGTTTGACAAAGTTCGTAAAGCCATGCCCGGACATTAGATTGTGCCTGTAATGAGGGTGTGGACCGTCACGATCAGGTTGGATTTATTGTGATGTGCTCTTTAAAGAACTTCCCAAAAGGAAGCCGCCAGCCTAATACCATGGGCTGGCTTTTAAAGTCTGTACAACCACAAAAGGAAAGAATAATGGTAACCGTCTTTGGTCTACGAATGGTTTCAATTTTAAAATAAAATGTACTTTACTGCTGTCAGTCAAGCAGTTTATGCATTTATTCTCTTCTTTGACACCACTAAAACAAACATGCCTTCACATTTTTGTCTGTTTTTACTTGACCGTCTGTTGAAAGATTTTGCCTCCGAAATTCTTTCCCTTCATCA